ATTTTGAACATGCCCCTTTCAATTAGTGATTCAATTACACAGAATCAGCAGCATGCATGTCATGACTGTTGGGTCTGTTGGATTTCTATTACTCTACTACACCTGCTAGTAAATTATTTGCCATGTAGAAATATCATTTCTACCAAAAACAGTGATTGATCAGGTTAGTGATGTCTGACTGCTATTATTTTGAACACAACTGTAAGTGCTGTAACTCTGAGTGACAGCATAAAATCACACCCCATAAGTTCCCTCTCTCAATTCCAGGTAAACTCTCCTAGCCCCCAGTACTCCCTCCCATCCCTGGAGGCCCCCATGTGTCAATCGTTTTATGTATACTTATACACTCACAGGATGTCCTCAGTCTTTTCATTTGAATTACGGTGTTTGTCATTCAGCCTGGAAGACTGAGTACATCATTCAGACAGTAGTAACACACGGGAGCTCCGACAGCTAGGAAGGTGCTCAGGCAAAGTGGGCTGGACTTAGCATGTCTTATATAGACAAGCAAACTAGGAGGCGGGCCAGGAAATGATGGAAGGGAAGGAAAGATAACCCAGAGGATAGCAGACGATGCTCATAGATGAGCATAGACAAACCACACATGTGAAAGAAATCAAGAGCAGCAAGGAGGTAAGAATAAACACACAAGAGACTACAGGCATTTCCCCTTTAATTGGCTCCGGAGGTGTAGGATTACTCACTCAGTCCTGTTCCTATGAGCTGGTGGGTTGGTGGCTGCTTTCAGGCTTTCCACTGGACTAACTCCTTCCCTGCTGCACAGGCGGTCCTCACTCTGAGGGCTGATGAGGTCTGAACTTTTCTCCTTTCCAGCTTCATTGCCTGGAGGTGGGCTCCTTCTCAACTGGGCCACCTCCCAGGCTCCTGCGCCTCAGGCTTCTCACTCCATCTGCCTCCTGAACTCTCCTGCTGCTGAGCAGGCTCTAACACATTTAAAGGTTGCCCTATCCCCATGACAAGCCTCCTGTTTGGGGATTGGCCAGGGTCCCCTAAGTGTGCAGGCCAGCCCCTCCTCACCCCTGCCCCACTGCTTCCCGAATCTTCTCCAAGATTCTAGAGCAGGAGACCTGCAGAGCCTCTCAGCCCTGACCCTAATTTAACCCTGCTAGCTATTACAACCAGGCTGCTACTCGCCCTCCCAATTAAAAATTGAACACTAGCTCCCCCTGGCTATCTAGAGGGGTGCTCCATCAATATGAGTTTTACTGCCAAATATTATGTATTCAAAACAAAAAGAGAAGAAACAGGGAAATAACCATCCATAAAGCAATATTCCCAACTTTGATGTTGTGCTTGGCTTGTTCTTTTCATAGTGAACTACAGCATTCATTTAAAATTTTAAGGTAATTTCATTTTATTTAGCAGAGTTCAATCAGAAAGACAAAGTCTTTCTCCAGGTGTAAAGTAAGACCTGTAATTATACCAGAATTAGAGGCTGTCTTCCATGTCTTTTGCTGATCAGAGACTACAGATCCATTCTCCCATGGATTTCCAGATCCTTGAGACATTTTAAATACAGGATATAGATGTTGGAATGGATGTAGTGAAAATGACTCTTTATTTAATATTTAACAATGGCTTTGTTTCATCACAAATATTGTCTTTAGTCTTCCATTAAGACTTTCGAAGTACATTCTAAGAAGACTTTGCATTTAAAACCTAACTATAACTTGCTGCATGATTTTCTTAGTGACTTACCCAGAATAAGTGCTCAGATCAGGGAATGTGGGAAGAGGTCTGAAGTTCTTATTTGAATTTTTGTTCTGGTTTAGATCCTTAAAGTGATTGTAAAGGTAATTTTTTTTTAAAATAACAAACATGTTATACTTACATGCTCTGTGCAATAGTTTTGCACAGAGCAGCCCCAATCCTCCTCTTCTAGTGTCCCCCGCAGGCACTCCTGACTCCTCCCCCCTTCTGAGTGCACCCACAGCAAGCCACTTGGTATGGGGGGTACTTTTGTGGGCTTGATCCTGAGCCAAACTGTGTGTGTCCATTGACATATATAGCACGCTCTGCCCAGACCCCGCTCTCTCCTTAAAAGCTGTGACTAGCAGCAGCAGGATCCAATTGCACCAGCTGCTGCCTCCATTCCCATTGTGTAAAGAGAGGGGAGAGAGTCACTGCTCTTGAACACAGCACTAGATCGAGCTCAAGCTCGGGCTCAGGTACATATTTAGGGAGGGCCGGCTGAACATAGAACATAGAAGGGTTTTTTATTTGAATACAGAGAATGCATTAATGGTAATAAAAAAGAAAACCTTCTGCCTTTACAACCACTTTAAAATATTATGGACAGATCGACAACATGCGAATAGGCACACAGAGCAGTGGGTGCCTCCAAAGCAAGCTGCTTGTTGTGGGGGCACCTTACAGGAGGGAGGGGCCAGTAGTGCCGAGAGGACCCGGGAAGAGGAAGATCCGGGCTACTCTGTGCAAAACCACTGTGCACAGCAGGTAAGTATAGACATGTTTGTTATTTTTTCTTTAAAAAAATAAGCCTTTAGAATCACTTTATCAGTACCTGTGCACATAGCATCCAGGGGCATATTTACCACAAGGCAAACAAGACACTTGCCTAGGGTGGCATTTTTCAGGGGGGCAGCACCTGAAGAAGGGATGGAAGAAGGGACACGCGCTCCATGGGAGCCATGTGGGATCCGAGAAAGGCTGCAGGCTGCTTGATGGTCTATGTAGGGCCTGACTCTCTTTCCTGGGGATGTCCAGAGCTGTGAAGATGGGTGTCTTTCTCTCTATTGCTGGGAAGGGGGGGTAGTGGAAGGCTCTGCCAGATGGGGGTCAGGGGTGTTGTTGGTCAATGTCAGGCTCTCTCTGCGGGAGGGGGTGTTGGTCAGTGTCCATGGGGTCAGATGATTTTGTGTTGCCTAGGGCAGCACAATACCTAAATACACCACTGATAGTATTGGCTATTTATTGCTTCCTCTGTCATGCCACAATTCTCTAGTAATGCATACACAGCAGCTGTGAAATGTTGTAGAAAGTTTAAGTCCATGAGGTCTGCCTAAAAACAATGACAACAGTCCTCTTTTCCAGATTGGCTGGAGTATTTTTTTCAGCTAATCAGGAAAATGGTTGTTGAATCTGGGCAGGTAAAGTCAATTCATACACAGAGTTTTTGCAGGCCCTACCTGGGGGTTATGGATGAGGTTCAGGTATGTTGCAACCATGAGTTTGAGGCAAATCTAGCATGTTTGAGGCTTGCTGTCCTGGCAAACCAACGTGGGAATTCATCTTTAACACATTTTTTTGTAACCTTAATACACTGCCTGACCATTGAACGTTTAGGAAATACATGTATTTTTTGAAAAGTATTGTGCAATAACACATGTCTGCTTGTCTCAAAGGGGCAATAATGTTAGGGCCTTTTTTATCTATATATGGGGTATACCTTACATAGACAAGGCTGAAGTGGCATTTCCACCACTATGTCCCCTCTGCTCAGGAAGGGGTCTGCAAATTCCCGGCCATAGGAATTATGCATATGAAAATGAGCAAACTTTAGGGAGAAATAGTCCCATGTTGCTTTGTAGCGAGTTATGTCAGCTGTAGAGCTTAAAGCCCTAAACTAAATAGCCCTGGAAGCAGCTTAAAGCTGCCTTTTCTGAAGCGGACCTCACATGTATACTTATAGTTGGAAATTGTGTACAGAATACAAAGTGCAGTGGGCACAATTTAAACTCTACCTGGGCAAGATTTAGTATGGTAGAGCACTGCCTATAATAAATTATGACTTTACCTTCTGAAAATCTGATTTCCTGTAGCCTTTTTCAGCCACTTTATCAATGTACAGTGTGGGCTGCACATCATTACTAAGGGCAGACTTCCTAAACGTGACACCGTAACTACATAATAAGTAGTCAGAACAGTCATTATGGTGGCATGTGACGGGATGAGCAGGAGCACCATCGGCACCCTATAACAGGAAGAGTGTGTAGTATTTTAATGAAATTTGTAGATTTAAAAATATTGAAAACAAAATTTTAATTAACATGTTAAAGCATGTGTGTGTGTGATGATGTTACTACCAAGCCCTGTCCGAAGGGTTTTGCCACAGGAGACGTCTTCCGGGGCCAGCAATAATCAGCGTGCATCTGTGTTTACATGCTTTTACTACAATATGTTTGTATCTTTTTTATTAAAGTGGAAAATATATTAAAGGATAATGCACTATAATTCTTATGTTCTCCTGCATGATAAGTGGGGCTTTATGTTGCTGGGATTGGTGCGGAGCGCTGGTGACATCACCTTTGAAAAGTGGTAAGAGTCCTATGCTAGCTGCTGCTGCTCCATTTGCTGGGATCACTGTAGGATTGATGGCTGTTTGAATTGTTTGGCATTCCTGGGTAATATTCTTATACATAAGAGCTTTTGGCCTATTTCTCTGGAGCTCATGCCATCTGGTAAGGAGGTGGCCAGGGGCGAACTGACCATTTGGAAACTTGGGCACTGCCCGAGGGCCCGGGGTCAGTAGGGGGCCCCATGAGATGCCCCAGGTACCTTTTTTCATAGGCTTTTTTGAGTTTGGGCAAGGACACAGGGGCCCCATGATCCCCTAGTGCCTGGGGGCCCCATGAGTTGTCAGTCCGCCCCTAGAGGTGGCCTATTATTGAAGTAGTGGATCACTTAAGCTCACATGGTCCACTTTGAAATGTTTCACTCTGGATTTTTAACACATTATATGGACAATATTCGTTGTTTTTGATTATCAATTGATTCATGTAAAGTCACATTATATACCATCACATATTTGAACAAAACCTGTCCTCTTTTACTTATATTAAAGTAGAACTGAACCTGATTCACTAAAATCTTATGTATACAAGTTGCACTATCCCTTTACCAATTACAAAAATGACGTGACCAAACATGGAATTTTACGGCTGTGCCAGGCAATGTCATACAGCTCAAAATATACAGCATTACACAAGCTAACTCTAAACCTTTTTCTGTCTTTATAGATATAGTTTCAATATGAGGCTCCTGGCAGTACTCTTAGTTATCATGATTTCTTTTGGAGCCACAGCAGATGAAGGACAGCCATGCCAATCTGAAATAACATCTATTTTACAGAAGGTCGATGAAATATATGATGCCATCTACAATGGAGTTCCTGTTCAAAACAATGAAGATAAAGCTATATATGCCTCCTGTAAGCTACAACCAAACCCAAAATTGGATGCTGATGAACTCAAAATCATGGGACAGGTCTTGTTCAAACAGGTCTATCCAAACGGGGAGTTGGAAGCAGTATTCTCCATAGAAGGTTTTCCTCAGGATGTCAATCAGTCTGTAAGAGCAATTCATATCCATGACTTTGGTGATCTCAGTAATGGCTGCGATTCTGCGGGAGGACATTACAATCCATTTTCTGTAGACCATCCAAACCATCCGGGGGATTTTGGTAATTTCCGTGTCCGTAATGGCAAGATCCAGCAGTACCTCATAAATCTTGGAGCGAAATTGTTTGGTCGAGTGAATGTAATTGGAAAATCAATAGTTGTACATAAGATGGCTGACGATCTTGGCAAAGGCAATAACCGAGCTAGTTTGGAAAATGGAAATGCAGGTGCACGACTTGCCTGTTGTGTGATTGGGACAACCAATAAAATTAGTTGGGAAAAATACATGGAAGAGAATGAAAAGTTAAAAAACCAGAGGGTTGCAAGGCGTGTCAACAAGCAGCAAAAGAAGCCAAAATAATGTCATTGGCAATGTGAAGTCAATCTCAGATTTAATATTGTCTATGATGTTAGTAATGCTCTTTATTCAGGCATATTTTAGATCTGTGCTAGTCAAAAAATATGTAAAAGCCTTAGTGTGACCAGTCAACTGTCTGTCAAAAAAAAACTGATGGTATATACAAGCATTTTCTTTGTAAGCCTAAAATTAAAAAGTAAAGCTGAAATATCACTATGGTCACGTGTCATTCCTAGAAGATATGGAAATTAATGATCTACTAACTCTCCGTTCTAGCAGCCACTACCACTTTCCCAGGTTAGGTTTAACTGTAATGTCACTGCAGGCAATACAACTAATTCATATGATAATGCTACATGACTTCAGTCAGCCAGGTTGAAAACAAATGCCCATTAAAGTGTTGTAAACCCTTACATATAACGAGTGAAGTGACTGGCCTCAAGTGATAAACAGATTAAACAAATCCTCCTACACAAGTTATACCCATTTATCTACAGTCATCTTTCCTTGACATCCATTCAAAGTGTAGAATTTAAACAGGATCTCTCAGCTCTGAAAAGCAGGGGGCGGAGATTAGAAGATACATCAGTAAAGAAAGCTCTGAGAGCTGATTGGAGGGAAGAGACACACCCCCTTCCAGACAAATCACAACAGTGCTGAAGCTGTCAATCCACTGTAACTCCCCGTCAACATTTTCCTCCTGGTGACAGGAAAACTCATCAGAAGTAACTCTGCCTATAGCAGAGAAATGAGACAGCAGACAAAAATAACACTTAGTCCTCTGAACTGAGACAATTACACACTATAAAGGAATATGCTTTGTTCATATTTCATGTCTGAGGTTTACAATCACTTAAGGTTTAACAGGGAAAAAAATATCCCCCAAAATATCCCTTGTATCAACAATCTAAGGTGTTTTTACTTATGTATATTAACATATTTTAACAGCTCTTATTGTATAGAAGCTCTTCCCTATGGGGAGGTTAGAGAACCTCCCCATATGGTACTTATATTGAACTGGATGGTGTCTTTTTTCAACCAAGCTAGCTATGTAACTATGTCCTTTAATAAATTCAGGACCCCCCTGTGTCACTAAACTCAGGTTTAAAAAGAAGAAAAGTCTATTCAAGTATGTATTCTTAAGGTGGTTGTAAAAGCTGAAGGTTTTTTACCTTCATGCATTCTATGCATAAAAGGTAAAAAACCTTCTGTGTGCAGCAGTGCCCCCAGCCCCGCCCCCCCCAATACTTACCTGAGCCTCTTGGCGATCCAGTGATGTGAATGACAGCCAAGGCTGTCCCAGGTCTCTGCCTCCTCATTGGCTGAGACAGCATGCGGGAGCTCTATGAGGAGATGAATGGACACACGGAGCAGCGGGTGCCCCGATAGCAAACTGCTTGCTGTGGGGGCACCTGACAGACAGGAGGAGCCAGGAGAGCCTGCGGAGGACCTGAGATAAGGATCCAGGCTGCTCTGTGCAAAACCACTACACACAGCAGGTAAGTATAGATATGTTTGTTATTTAAAAAAAAAAAAAAAAAAAACCTTTAGAATGGCTATAGTACAAAAAGTCCCTTCAATTGCTCTCAGCCTCCTTCAAAACCCTTTTTTTTTTTGCTGTTGTGATTTGACTTCCTGTTTGATTTCCATGGTCCCACTGCATACAGGAACATAGCCACCCTCTCTTGCTCACTCCCTAGATGGACTAGAAACTATGGAATGTGTAGCATGCATAGAGCAGTGCACATTACCACATCATGCACTGCTCAATCGAAACAAACCAAAGTGAAAGAAAAAAGGAGAGGTTTGGGAGCGCATGAAAGATGGAACAAATAGGCAGAAAAATACAGTAAGAAACAATTTAATTGAAAATGAGATTCCAGGGTCATTAAGTAGTGGACGTGTATGGATTATTTTTGGAGAATAAAGATATTGTTTAGTGTTACAAAAGGGGTTTATTTACTAAAGAGTGCAAAATCAGGCTCATGTCTTCATAGAAACCTATCAGCGTCTAGATTGTATTGCCAAAGCTTAAAGTGTTACTAAACCTACAACAGTAAAATCAGTCTGTATATGCAGTAAAGCATGTTTGTTATACTCACTGTGGAACCTAAGGGGTTAATCCTCTACATTGTGTAAAAACACGGTTTGATCCTGACTTCTCTGATCCTCCCCTTCTTCCAGTGTCCCCTTCTTATCTCCTGATGAGACATATTGTGTGGAGTCACTCTGCACATGCTCAGTTTGGGAGAGTGCATGTGATCAGCACAGGGCCAATCAGCACTGTCCCGACAGAGGTCAGGGGCTCTGCATCCTCCTAGAGCAAAATAAAAAAACTTCTCCTACAAGCTTTAGCCAGTGCTTGACTGGACACGGATAGAAGTCAAAATTATGATGCAACTTCAGCTGCATTTTGCGCAATTGATACTGGTGACCAATAGAAAATTGCATGTATACTGAGATGATGCAATATTAGCCTTTAATTGCATCACTTCACTGCATAAAAGCTGCAGTATCTGTAGCTGATTGTAGTTCGACAGCGTCTTTACATTTCGTTTTATGCTTATATAGGCTATTCAGTAATGCCTCGAACTTGTGTGAATAAAGCAGATAATTTCTGCTATATCTGCGGTGAAATAACTTTTATCTCACAAAAAAGGAGGATAACAGGAATGATTAAGAAAGCCTACAACTTGTATTTTGGCTGCAAGATAGGAGACCAGGACAAGAGCTGGGCACCACATATATGCTGCAATTCTTGTGGGACGGCACTGGAGCAATGGTTGAATGGAAAAAAGGCATCTATGCCTTTCGCTGTGCCAATGATTTGGAGAGAGCCAACAGATCATGTTAGTAATTGTTACTTTTGTATGGTGCCTCCAATTGTAAAAGGGCTAAATAAGAAGAAAGTTATCTGTGCACTATCCAAATATTCCATCGGCAATACGTCCAGTTCCTCATGGAGAGGGGCTACCAATTCCTAAAGCACCAGCATCCTTCGTGGTTGAGTCAAGTGAGGAAGAACCTGAAGCGTGTTGTCATGTGCAGTTGTAAGAGATAGCCCTTTCCTCGAATACAAGAGAAAAGCCAAGAGAAGCAAAACCGACACAAACTGAAGACAAAACTAGTGAGAATCCTAAGTATTAAAATGATTCAACTTAGCTTATGGCTATAATTTTTCTTGGTAATCCTATGCAATATATTATGCCATTTAGGCTTTGTTATGTAGTCAATATCACTTGCTTTATATTTGTGGAAAGACATCTATCTATATAATTATTGTGCATTATGTAGTCATTACGCCTATAGTAGAAAACTTTCCGTTTACAGAAAAACTAGAGCCAATTGACAAATTTCATTGTTATATTTGAACTCAGAATGTGAAATTCATTAAGAAATGGATCCTTTTGTTTCCAAAACTGGCAACATATAAAAATTTGTTGAACAGTGTAAGCAATGAGAGAAATATTTTTTTGGCCAAGTGGGGAAAGGTTAAAACCTACCAGGTTGTGATTACTGTCTGTCTTCTCATCCTGATGATCCCTGTTGCCTTCATTTTGTCTGACCCTATTACAGAGAAATGAAGTAAGGTAAAATCTCACCAGGGTCCTGGACAGCAATAAACTTTGACAGAAGTATTTCATCTTCCCAAGTCTATCCTAGAGATTACAAAAAAAGTTAGTTGGGCTTTAGGCTGTGCCTATATACTGTATGTCAGTTCCTTCCCTTTGGAGAACCTCTCACCAGTATAGGGATGAATCAAGGAATCAATCCAGATATTTATCCTACAGTCCCGATCAGGCGATGTGCATAATTTCTGATGCTGAAGTTTAGGTATGGCAACTTTTACACAGTTACATTGGTTCAAGCTCAACCAAAGTAAGTATATATGTGTCATACCTGTGGGATCTCCATGAAAGCCAGAAATCAATGTACTGGGCATGACTACTACAATGATCTCCACTAGCCTTCAGGTCTTTTGCCAAGTGGCCCTGCTGAATACAGAACACAGGGGTCACCCATTTGGCACAGGTGCAATTCAGTGAACACTTTGAATCTCTCATTCTTATGGAGAAAACACAAAGTGATGAGAGACACAGCCCCATGTGTTCAGCAAAGCAACAGGGCACTTGGCACAAGACTTGGATGCTATTGGAGATGACTAACTTCTTCCCGTGTGGCCCATGTTGATAAATGGCCGGACATATCTAAACTTCCCCCCGCATCCGTTGCCTGTGCGCGCTCCCTGGGAGCAAGTGGCACTACGATCAGTGCCTGCTGTGTCTGGGATCACTGTACGGGACCTCTGTGTGAGGTCCCGATTCATGTGATCACTGATTGGTCAATCGGTGATCACTTGAAAAATAGTAAACAAGATGTCACTCCCTGACATTATTGTTTACTACTTGTGAAATCTGTGAATGATCACAGAGGTCACATGGTACAAGGCTATTCACAACAGCTTTGTACCATGTGACAAGCTGTGACCAATCACAGCTCTCACAGTATTTCTCAATGGCTGCAGGAATGTAGTCAGAGAGGAGAAATGATTGCTTTTATTCCCATAGTCAGTGCAAAAAAAGTAAAAAAAAAAAAAAAAAATCAAATCTTCATCATCCCCCAAGTAGTACAGTGTCACTATGGTGACACTGTACTGCTAGGGGTGACAGTATGTTACAAAAAAAAAAATAAAAAAATTAAATAAAAATGTAAAAAACAATTTTGAAAAATTATAATTTTTGGTTATAAACTAATTTGGGTTTTTTTTTTTTTTGTACTAAAAAGATAGATGAATACATTTTGGCCAAGGTTTATAAAGAAAGATTATTTGCAAAATTTTATAAGAAAAACATTTTTTTTCGAAATTTGACTTTTTCATTTATATAGAAAACAAATTGAAATACCAGTGGTGAATAAATACCACCAAAATAAAGTTTTATCTGTCTCATAAAAATGCTAAAAAATTCATATAGGTACAGTGTTGCATGACCGCGCAATTGTCA